TATGAGGCTGCCCTAGATGGCTCCCTTCTGAAGACTATAGTTGTTTTCTGAGCACCTACTATGTACCAGGCACTGTGCTAACAAGTGGTTTACATCCATGATCTCATTTAATCCCCCAACAAACCTGCGGGGAAATGTCATCCTTGCTCCACAGGCGGGGAGGCTGAGGTTCAGGATGGCTAACAGACTGTGAAGGCACCCAGGGCATAGGCAGTGAGTTGGGACTCAGTCCCCAGACCTGGCCGCCTTTGCCAACTCAACCTTGACCCTGTGCTGTCCTAAGGGTCCTCGGAAGCTGAAGTCCTAAGACCAAACAGCCTGACAGGTAGGCATCACTGCTACAGGGTAAATGATGCCACACTATCCCGAGCAGTGGGACTCAGCCCTGCCACCCCCACCAGCCCCCAACCAGCCCTTGGCCCCAGAGAGAGTCCCACATACTTGGCCCGATTTTCTGGAATGGTTCCGGGGGCTCCTCCTTCACCTCGTCAGTGGCCACGACGCCTTGGTCAAAGGGGTCTGCAGGAGAACACAAGACCTTTAGCACTTGGGCCCATCAGGTCTCAGGAGCCCAGCTGGGGATGGGAAAGGTGAACAGCTGCAAAGACTTACCTGCCCGATTCTCAGGGGCCCCTTCCACGCTAAACACTGCACCCAGGCAGGAGGCAGCAGACGCAGAAAGAAAAAAGCAAACAGGAGCCCTGTTAGTCCCTCCCCAGAACTGCCTCTGTCCACCGCTCCCTGACTCTATCCAGTGAATTTGCCTCTAGGGCCCAGAAGGGCTGCCCTGGCCAGGATGAAGCCCCGGGAAACCCAGGGCGAAGTGAGGGCATGTCCCAACCCAGCTGTGCCTCAGCTCATCATCCTTGCTGTGGCCAGGTTCCCACCCCTGGGGAGGGCAGACGCTGCAGATCACAGGCACACACTTGAGGGGCCAGGGCAGGAGGAGAAGGAAGAGACTGGGAGGAGAGAAAGAGGTGAAAACAAGGGTGAGCCAAGCCTGGTTGTCAAGGCTCAAGACAGGCTGTGGGTGTGGGGCTAGAGGGGGGCGCCCTAAGGTCCCTTCCAGGTCCAAGACCTTCTTTCTAGGATTGTTAAGACTCTTAAACATGTGACCTCAACTTCCTGTTTTCGTTTCTACCTCTATAATCTGAGGCTAAAATGTCATCATTCATTTTTTAAAATTGCTTTAATTTCACCAGAACATGTGAATACTCAAGAATCAGACGAAACTGTGAAATGACTCACTATGAAATTCCAATATTCTCCTGATTTTGACCTATAAAAGTGGCAATTTCACATGGGTTAACCTAAATAGGACGCTGTATAGAGTATAATGGGTATGTCCCCTCCTCGAGGCTCTGGCTGCTGCTGGGCCTTTCTCTAGGTAGGAGAAAGGAGAGAGGGCAGGTTAGGGGCTGGCGTCCTGAGGAAGGGCAGGTCCTTGCACAGCTCCGGGGAGTGAGAGGCCTAACTCACCATCTACGGCGTGCAGGTCTCGGTGCTCTTGGAAACAGCTGTAGTATTTGTACTTTTTCCCGCAGATGTCACACGTGTACCTGAAGTTGTCTGCAAGGGATAAAAAGATGCACGTTACTAGGGGCTTTGGTCCTGTGGGATGGGTTTTTCTGGCTAGATCATCTGCCTCAGGAACCAAAGATAGGACTAGCCCAGATAGGACTGGCCTCAACTGGATGACCTCATGGAAAATCAGCTCCGGAGCCCATCTGTGTGCTGGCACTGCCCATCTCTTGTGGACCATGGAGGACTATGGCACAGCCCACCTGGAACTCCCAGCTCCACCATGAGCATCCAGGACTCCCTGTATTGCTTCATGGGTCCACAGGTTGTAGGCTGGGGTGTTCGAGGTCCTCTGGGAAGATCTGGACCACGTGAAGGGACCAGGGATCCTGGGAGTGACTCCCCAGCCAAGCCCCAAGGCTGCCCTATGTGGGCTGAGTTCCTAAAGGCTTGGTTCATAACTGGTCCCACACTCCCTCACAGAACTCCCATGAGAAGAACAACGATCACTAAACCTACCACACACAAGGCAAGGTGCCAGGCCAGGCTCTTCTCCTGCATTTCCTGTTAGTTCTCGCAACAGAAGGAGGGAGGAGTCTCTCATTTTACCCATGAGGACACTGAAGGACAGAAGGGATCTGTCCCAAGTCCCATAGCTTCTGAGATGACATCCAGTGATCTTATCTCCGGGTGCTCACACCCTGCATGACCCTTTCCCAGTGAGCCTGGGCTGGACCTTGAGACTTACTTCTGATGAACAGGAGGAGTAAAAGTGACAGAATGTCACTTCTGAGATTAGGTTACAAAAGACCATGATTTCGTCTTGAGTCCCTTTCTCTCCCTGTCTCACATACTTGGGAACTGCCATGTTGTAAGCTGCCCCATGAGGGATCCGGGTGACTGGGAACTGAGGCCCTCAGTCCAAGGGCTCGGGAAGGAGCAACCCTGCTAACACCCACATGAGCAAGCTTAGAAGACGCTTCTCTCTACCTGACCCTTAAGATGAGACTGTAGCCCTGACTGCAAACTGTGAGCCACCAGGAGCCCGAGGACCAAATTCCTGACTCTGGAAACAGAGGAATAATCAATATTTGTTGCTTTAAGTCATTAAGTTTTAGAGATATAGCAATAGAAAACTAACACAGAGTCTGAGTTTGCATGGAATGCCCAGATCTCAGACGGCTTAAGTCTGAGGCAAGAACCACATAGGCCGTCACCCTCTCCAAGCAGGTGACATCTCTAACATTGGTACTGGGGTAGACCTGTTCCTTTCACTGATATGGAGAGGGCCCACTACCCCATCTTCCTGGGTGTGCCCAGGCACAGAGAGGGTCGGCAGCTTGCTCAAGGCTGCACAGGGAGAAATTGCTAGGATTCAAATATTCATTTATCCCCAAGGTGAGGCTGAGTCAGGGCACGTGGCCGTTCTCTGTCCTGATAAGCTGCCTGGCAGTCCTGGGCTGAGGCATCTCCCTCTTGGCTCCTCTCCTGCCCCTCAGCACCCAAATACAGACTCTCGTGTAATCCTCCAGGATTGTATTTCCAGGCAATTCTGTGGGAGGTTTCTGGCCCCCTCTAAGGTGAACTCAGAGACACAGATGACATCAGTCATCTCCCTTCCCAGCTCCACCCTCACCTCTTCCATTGCACTTGCAGTCTCTGAAAATGCCTCAGCAAGATGCCAGGACCCTAGAGACAAACTGGTCCCTGAGCAAGATGGCGGGTACCAGAAAAATCCAAGGGGGAAGTGGTAAGGGCTGTAGATGAGCTCAATTCTGGGGTCTTTTCCCAGCTCAGGCCTCCTGCCTTTCTCAAGGCCAGCAATCCAGCCTAGATAATAAGCTTCCCCATCTGGGCCCATCCATATGCAATCCTAGCATCTCCGGTGCCATCTGTGGCCACCTATCCTCTTGCTTGTCTCTGTCTTCCCAGCCTCCACGGCCAATTGGCCACTCCCTCCCTTTTGCCAGCTCTCTGACACCAAGAGGCCCCACCACTTGGTTTTGTCAAATCTCACACCATGGCAGCTCCTTGACCTGGATGGGGACCTTATTCCAGGGCCCTCCTCCAGCAGGAGCCAATTAGGACAAGAATAGTATCTCTAAAAAAGGATGGCAAAGTAATTTTTGTCAATGAAACCACACTTTTGCAACCCCATGACAACTCAGTGTCTCCAGGAATACCACTACAAATCCATTTGGGGAGGCGGACTCCAGAGTCAGGCTGCCCAAGCTCAAACCCAACTCTACCACTCAGAAGTGGGACAGACCTCAGATATGCTCCCTAAGCTCTGGGCCTTGGTGCTCTCATCTGTAAAATGGGAAGAATGATAGATTCTTCAGCTCCCAGAGTTGTAGTAAAGGAGCATAATGCCTAACATCCAATAAATGCTCAGTAAGTGTTACCCAATATTGTTTTACAAAGTAAATCAATAGGATAGTAGCAAAAGAATCACATGGGGGGGCTCATCTTTTATTTTCTTCATTGAAAGATGGGTGAGTGGATACATCTTTATGCTTCTAGTTATGACTGTACTATTGCCTAATAAGTAAATGAAAGGTCTTTGCACTAGAATGTGTGAGACCTCATTTCTAGGCTCATCTCCATTACTAATGAGCTCTCCTTCTCTCTGGGACTTACTGTCTTCATCTGCAAAATGGGTAGGCAGGACCCAGCCTTCTCAACTGGACTCTTTTGGCTCCAGGACTCCATGGCCAGGTTCTCCAAAGCAGGTGCTGCTGGCCTGGGTCGGGGTGGGGGTGTAGGACTGAGAATAAAATAGAGCACACTGGCCATGGGGAGAAAACTCTAAAGGGAGAAAAGGAAAAGTGATGGAAGAACTAAAAATAGCCCTGGCTACAGAGCACTCAACAACCAGTGAGCCCGCACACCACGAAAGCCAGATGGAACACAACAGATCATTGAGAGGCAGCCGGAGAGGCCCAGGGCCCAGAATAGCCAAGGAAGGAAAGATAAATTGGGAAGTTCTTTAAATGTGTGGCTGACCACAGGCAGACCATGGGAGCCAGAAAAGAATGGAGCTATTGAGGGACACGGAGTCAAAGGCCAGCTGGGGTGGGGTGGTAAGCCTGGGAGGGGAGGGGCAGGCTCCTGTCTCCTCCCAGCAGAGGGCTGTGACAGGTGTCTAGCCAACCTGGGCCTCAGATTCCTCCCCAGAACAGAGGAGTCAGCCCTGCCCGCCTCTCCTTTAGTATAAGAATCCAAACAGAGAGGATGGAAAAGTGTGTCACGAGAACCCCCTTAGGGCCCATGTCCATTAAAGCCCTTCTTCAGCCAGAGGCACCTCTTCAAATTGCTTTGGTTTCCGGTTTGGGTTTTCTTGGGGGGGGGGGTGGTGTTAATATTTGTTTATGCTCTTAAAAAAACCTTCTTACGATGGCATCATAAGCACATAGAACAGGGGTTGGCACATGATGGTTAGTGGGCCAAACCCAGCCCACCATCTGTTTTTGGTAAGGGATTCATTTTCATACTGTTTCTGGCATGCTCCTGCTGTAAGGGCAGGGTTGAGGAGCTCTAACGGAGACGACTGGCCTGTGAAGTCCAAAATACTTCCCATCTGGCCCTAGACAGAAAATGTTTGCTGACCCCCGAGATGGAAGAGTATACGAATCATCAGTGGACAGCTCATTCAATTTCCGCAAACTGGAAATGCTCCTGTAACCAGCACCCAGCTCCAGAAACAGAACGCAGAAACCTCTTCCCCAGGCTCACCACTCTTCTGACCTTTACCAGCGTTAGTTTTCACTGCTTTTATACTTTTCCTACACAGAACCTTAAAGGAAGAAGTTTTGTGTCTGGCTTATTTTGCTCACCATCGGGTTTGTGAGAGTCGTCCCTGTGGCTGTGTGGAGCTGTCCGCAGTTCTTTCTTACTGCTGTATAGTAGTCCTTTATGTGAATAGACTTATTCATCCACTCAACTAGCACCAGGCACTTGGATGGCTTCTGGTTTGGAACCGTAAGGAACAGTGTGCTAAGAACATGCTAATTCACATCTTTTGGCGGACGGACATGGCACAGATTTCTGTTGGATACATGCCTAGGGGCAGAGTGGCTAGCTTCTGAAGCTGAGTGGTGTGTTACGCACCTGGGAGGTCGCTCAACAAGATCCTGGGATCTAAAGTTGAACAAAGGCCTGTGTGTAGCAAAGCAGAGTGCTGTCCCCAGGTGTCAAGGCCCTACGCGCCACTGGAGGTGAGATACGGCGCTCGAGGGCAAAGCACCAGTACACAATTAGTGCCTATGGCTGCAGATGCATCTGTTTCCTAAAAGTCAGCTACAAAGCCCCAGAGCCATGAGTCAGAGTCAAATGAACACATGGAGTTGCACGCGCTGGGCTCCCACTGGGGATATGCAGCCACATCTGCCAATGAAGGGACCATCCCACACATTCTAGTCCAATGACCTTTCATTCATTGATTAGGAAAATAGTACAGCCACACACTAAGAAGCATAAAGACATACCCAGTCTCCCCATCTCTCAACTAGATGCCTATTGCAAAGAACCCCACTCATCCTGGTATAACTCAGGGCTGCCCAAAATTATTTGGGCAGAGAACCTTTTCCAGACAGAACTCCTACTAACCTCCCTAGAATGAGTGTGCCACAGAGCACACTTTGGGAAGGGTTGCTCTGAGGTACTGTGTTCCAGTTTCATAAAGACTCTCTGGCTGCAAAGCCTGGACTGCACCGTGTCTCTCAGAGGCCATCAGAGTAGTCCAGGAGGAGGGAACAAGCGTCTCCTCTCCCTCCCTCCCCAGCCCTCAGCTCCCACCAGCCCACAAGGAGGCAAAAGTACTCACTGCTTTGGGAGGCTCCCTCCCCTGAGGTGGCTTCGGTGTCTGTAGAGAGAGGGGTAGGGGGAAGGAGGTGAGCTGACAGGGCTGAGGGAGAGCAGGTGGGGCAGGCAGAGGCCAGGAGAGCTGAGGAGGGCTCTTCCACGGAAGCTGCAGGGGGAGAGCCTCATAGTCCTGCCCTGGGCCTCTGATGCGTGCCTTTCCTCCCAGTCTGCCAGGCTCAGAGAGAAGCAAGTGCCATTCCTTCTGTCCCCTCAGAGTCCTCATCTTCAGAATGGGAAGCAGCAGCCTGGTCCCTCACCCAAGATTGTCAGAGTAACACATGTGATGATTCGCCCACGTGCCCCGCTGGGCCTGCTGACAGCAGAGCTGATGTACCCAGGAGGACTAAGGCTGTGGGGCAGGCAGCAGCCCTCCCAAGAGGCTGAGTGGTGTATCCCGCCGGCTGCCCTCCCACACCTCTGCTCTCCCATATTGGAAGGCCGCCCTTCTCCTGCCTGGCACCCACCTACTGAAGAAAAAGGGAAGAATCCTTGGAGCTCTCAGAGTCGCCCAAGTGGGAAACAGACATTATCCTCGGCTCTGCCTCGGGGACACCCCACTCACCTCGGTGTGCCCGCATGTGGGTCTGGAAGCAGTTGTAATACTTGTATTTCTTGCCACAGATTCCACACTCATAGGACCCTGGAAAACAGGAGAGGAAGGAATGGTCAGGTAGCATCCCATGACCCCAGCAATGACTCTAAGTACAGCTACTGTGTACATGGAAGCAGAGGCCCATGTACAAGGAGGTGACACTGAGGCAGATGGCAGGAGGCCTGGGCTTTACATGCAGGTTTGCTTCCTGTGCTCTGAGTGACCTCAGGGAAGGCACCCCCTGATCTCTGGGCCTCAGTTTCCAAATCTGTAAGATGAAGAAGGTAACTTTTTCAGCTAACCCACATACCTTGAAAGCAAAAAAGAGACAGGCATAAAAGTGCTCTGGAAGGAAGAAATCACATCTACATAAGGAAATCATTTCCTTTTACCTGCCAAGATGAGACAGAGATTAAGAGGACAGACTTTGAATTAGACACACCTGGGTCCCTAACGGCCACTTACCACCATCAATGACCTTGGTAAGTTCCTTAGACCACTAAGCCTCTGTCCGCTCATCTGCACAGGGGGCCAAACATACCTAACCTTCCAGGGGTGGCCCCACATGCCCCCTCTAGGATATGCTCGTACTACAGATAGGCTTGGCGGGAAGAGGAACCCCATACACACTGAGGAGTGGCCTTGTTCCCTCAGACATACAGAGACCAACATGGAAGAAACACCTGAATCCAGCCCCCTGCCAGGCCCTTCTCCCAGAGCAGGTGGACTGAAACGGGTGAACTCCCAGGGTGCACTGCAGACTGATCTGAACTTCCAGCAGGTACTGCAGAATGACTGAAGGTTGAAGGAGGGGTGTCGCCTGTAGCTCAAGCCACTAAGGCTCCAGCCACATACACCAGAGCTGGCAGGTTTGGATCCGGCCCGGGCCTGCCAAACAATGACAACTACAACCCCCAAAAGATAGCTGGGCATCTGAGGTCCCAGTTACTTGGGAAGGTGAGGCAAGAGAATCACTTAAAGCCCAGGAGTTTGAGGTTGCTGCGAGCTATGACGTCTACCCATGGCGATAGCTTGAGGTTCTGTCTTTAAAAAAAAAAAGGTTTGAAGGAGGAGCCCATCCATGCAGAGACTGGGGCAAAGGCCCATGGCAGGAAGCCAAGCAGAAAGACCTTCAGACCCAGCCTGGCAGGGAACCCCCTGGAATACAGGCTCTGCCTACCCCCCACCTACTGGAGTCCTCATGAATGCCACCTGAGCCAGGGGTCATGCTGTGCCTAACAAAATGGCCAGGGACAAATGCAGAGGCCCTGGTCCACTCCAGCTTAGTGTCCTAAACAGAACTGGGTGGGGACCTAGGACTTCACCTCTTCTAACAGGGGACTCTGGCACCCAGCATCTGGGCACGGGAAGTGCTGGTGACAATGAGAGCTGCAATGGAGTCTCAGCTCTGCCACTGCTTAGGGTGGGGGTGGGGTGCTCAGATTCCTCCTTGAGAAAATGCAGATGATGCCAGGGGACTGCTGTGAAGACTTGGGTGAGGGTGGAGACCTTAATTCCCACTCTTTCTGGTTTTGGCTGGAAGTAGAGGCCCATGTACCAGGTGTGCACCTACAGATTGGATTAAGCCAAAAGAAGGGGAGATGTGGAGTTATTAAGTTAGCTTAGCTCTGCCAACTCTTAGCTGCTTGATCTCAGTCACCTAAGCACCTCCTTTTGCCTGTCCAAGCCTTAGTTTCTCCACCTTAAAACAGGGCTATTCGGCTTGGCGCCTGTGGCTCAAGTGGCTAAGGTGC